AAAACAACATACATGACAAGTAGTCAAATTTCTCTCTGTAATCTGTTAGTGTCACCTTTCCCTGAAAGGAAGATTACCTATAAGGTGACAAATAACAACACTGCTCGGTCATTGAAATTGCTTGTTGACGAGTATTTAGGAATTCACAGCTGGAGTTAAGAATTTTTAAACCACCCCTCTGAACGTTTTGTGGTGTTTTGTGTTGTTTTGTGGTGTCAGGGCTCACATGAGAGCAGTCCCAGAGTCCAGAACCAGACAAATACACCGACGTTGAAGGTCAGCCATAAACCTAGGACTCCTGTCTAGGGCCATCACCCCCGGGCCCCTGCTGCTGCTCCCATCTCGCTCGCTCGCTCGGCTCGCGCACGCAACGCACGCACGCACGCACCAGCAAGCACGCACGCACGCACGCACTCACGCACGCACACACACACACACACACACACACACACACACAGTTGCAATGCAGAGGATTTTGTCTTGCATACTGGTAGATATGCATAGTCTATGGGAGCAGCAGCAGTACCTTCAGTCCGTATCTTGTGTGTAGCACTTAGCGTTTCTCAAAAATGTATGTCCTCTATGGCCAACAAATATATACTTTCATTTTAAAAAAAGAGAATTTTCTGGTCACTGTAGTTTTTAATAAATGTTACTCAAACTGGAGGAAGAAATAAAACATCTATTGGGGACTAGTTTCCTTGATGGATTAATCCACATTTAGTATTCAGTATTTAGTATATAGTGTTTCCATTAATAGGATGCTGTATGTGGAATTGAATTTGGCTCATAGTTTTTGGATAACAGGAAATGAATGAACTTGCTCATGCAGCCTGTTCTCACTCCCAAGTAGCAAGGCAGCTTAGTCAGTGGCCCTACGCTTCAAACTAGTCGGGTGACATAGAAAGCCAGAAAGTCTGCATATGGATGGATGGGTCAAACAAACACAGGACTTTCACCCAGGAGACTGCTGTTGGTGTTTGTGTGAAACCAAAAGTCAACGTTGACCGCTTTTCAACTTGTGTTATGCAAGTCATGTTACTTGCATTATGTAAGTTCCGTTACTTACATTACATACATTACATACTTATTTTGACTTATTTGTGCCTAAACCATCAATATGTGTATATATAGGGAAAATACATTTTCCCCAAAGATGGTTTTCGGCATTTTTGGTAGTTCTTATCACACTGATATATTTTCAAGTATTCATTTTTTTAGTAAGAAAACGTGAAGGGGGTTTCATGTCATGATTGACAGCTGAGTCGTACTTGTGATTGAGTAGGCCGGGGGTATGGGCGGGACCTTGATACCGTGATCACTACTACACAGACTGGCTCCGAATGACGTCACCAGCACAAGATGGCAGTGGCGTATGCCCAATATTTTGGAAACTGAAACTGTTTTATTTTGAAGGTCTCAATTGCACAGATTGCCTCCTGTCTAACTAACAATCACAACCATACAATGATCCTATAGGCACGTGCACTGAGACAATCCTACCCACCCCTCCTGTTGGCACTTATCACTGCCTTTTTTTATTTTCTCCAGCTTCCCTGCTTCTCTCTCCCCAATCCCATCCTCCTTGCCTCTCTGTTCGCCCACTCACTGTCAACTGCGGGCAATATGACAAGGAAAGAGAATGAAGGGGAGACACAGAAAATACAGGAATCTGCACTTGTATTTTTGTGCCTGAAGAAAGCTGTTTCTAAACAGATCTTTCTTGTTGCATATGTCCTGCAAGGTTTTACATCATTCAAATTGCCAATGAATCACAGAGAGGGCCTCAGGGCTAAGAGTATATCCAGTGATCCCTGTGGAAAGTTGTTTTGCAACTGATTTGTGCATTTTGGTACACAATACACAGAAGGGGTTTATATGTTTATATTGTCCAATTTTTTCAGCAAGGCATCAGTGAGCTATCGCATTGTGTCTTTGAACAGTTTACACATAGGCTTTAAGCGCCGAGCAAACCCCGATTTTGCATGTGATGCAAGCACCTTTAAACTTTAAACACACTGCATTAATCCAGCATCACTCCTGATAATGTTATTCTCAGGGAGGAGGCTACAGTGCTGCTGGCATTACATTTCTTTTGGCCTATTTTTTAAATTTTTTCTCTGACCTTCAGACTTAAAATCCCTTCAACAGATGGTAAATGGTACAGAGTAGTAAGACTACATGCAACTGTTCCAGACAGGGCACGGTAAAGCAGAGCTGTATGTCCACACTGTCATTAAGGCTCTTTAACTCACTCGACACTGTACACTAATGCCTGGCTCTACTACAACAGCTGCTGACACCGACTCCCTCAGCTTCTTAGTCTTCTGCTTATGGAAGCAGGTTGTCCATTTCCTCCAAATCCCAACTCTTAATCCCCTGTGTCATATAGGAAGCAGGCTAGCATTTGTGTGATTTTCTGTATGGGATGAGTCAGCTGGGGAATTATGCAGCCATGCATTTATCATAAAGAAAGATAGATAGATAGATACTTTATCAAATTAAGCACCATTACCACCATGAAAGTAAAAAAAAAAGCCCTTAAAGCACAGAAAGTAGCACCAACAAAGTCAACTCCTCCTCCAATGACTAAGATGGCCTTTGTAACTAGTTTGTTGAGCTTGTTAGCATTTCTCACTGCCAGCACTCTGCAGTATTAAAGATAACGCTGGCCACCACAGACTGGTAAAACAGCTGCAGCATCCTGCTGATGTTTAAGCCTCTGAGCCTCCACAGAAGTAGAACCAGCTCAGGCCCTTCTTGTAGACGGCCCCTGTGTTCCTTTACCTGTCAGCCATAACATAATACAATAATAATAATAATACATT